CTTTTTGGTAAGTATTCCCTCTAAACTCAAGTGTTATTCCATAAGTTCATAACACTCTTGGATCATCGACTCATATCTTAACACCAAAAATCGTTCTTAGGATCATCCAAGCTTTCACGTGTTCATCAAGTGTTCTTGACTTGATACTCCTTGTCTTCAACCTTCCATTCTTCAAGAAATCACTCAAGGTGAGTTCATACCCCTATATTTTCTCGTTTTCTTTAGTTTTCAGGGGGGGGGGGGAATACAAGTTAAAACACCAAAACATATTTGAAACTTAACTTGACAGCCTACAACAAAAAAGTTGTGACCTGTTCACGAACTGTTTTACCCAACTTAAACTTAATATTTTTCAAAACTGTTTAATATGCAAATAGTTCAGGTTTATACCTTTAAAATGACTACTTGCACATCTCCATATGATGTCTCTACAATTTATGGTGATTTTTACAAAACTGCCTATCACTGCAGCATCAAAGTCGGACCAGGTAGTGAAGATGAACATTTTTCACCCTAGTTTGAGACCACCAAAAACTATAGAAAAATTTATGGATATAGTAGACTCTTTTTTCAAATATTCAGAGTTTACGGATTTAGTTTTCGACTTACGATGATTTTTCTATAAATATTCTAAGACAGTGACAGTTAAGAGTAAAATTCTCAAATACATGTTTAAGAGTTATTCACACATTGTAACATGTTGAGCAAGGTGTGTACGATTTACACGTAGTATTTTAAACGTCATTTTATGGAAATACAAAGACCTGAATAACAAGGTTTCATTCAAACACACAACACTTTTGATAAACTATAATAGGTATAGTTTGAGCACTTCGTTTGACAAAGAAAACAATAACCCAATCGACTTACAAAACAAGTATTTCATTACACACTACGTGAACTTGTTAATAAATAAATTTGTGAGACATTCTCCTTCGGGGTACTCTTAAGTACCACATTAAAGTCCTGTAGTTGTAATCAAAATCTCCTGGAGGGAGAGCGTGATAGTTGTGTATAGATCTATATTGGGTCTGACAAACCCGCACCCTAAGCTGCTTGCAACAGCTAGACCGCCAGGTCTGGGGTGACAAGTGTCATAACATTCCGACGCCTGAAGAACGTCGAGTACGAGGTCTTCGAGTTTAGTATGGTTATAACATCTCACATGAGAAATTAACAAAACACACAGTTCACGAGGATTTAAGGAGTTTTATTTTAAATATAAAACCACACACACACACACACAATCATAACAATTTACTTACATACACTAAGTCTTGGTTTAGTTAAGACTATAACAAACCTTTAGAAAGTATTGGATTTTTTGGAAACAAACTTGTAATAAACAAAAAGGAACATCATTCATTTTTCATTCATAAATTGTTTATGAACTCACCAGCTTTATGCTGATACTCTTTCAAAACAACTTGTATTCTCAGGTAATCAGTAAAACAGGTAATCACAAGATTTCTGAAGTCAAGACGCTAAGGCGTAGATTCTTTTGCTATATTTTGACATCATATGTAATTTATTCGAAAACATATACTTTTGAAACGATGTAACCTTTTAAATTATATTTATGATGGTTGTGTTTACTTTCTTCACTATGGTTATGATACTGAGCATGACGTCCTCCGCCCCCGAACGTTTCCGCCGTTCTGGTTTGGGGGTGTGACAGCTTTGGAGAGTGATTTTGGTGTGGTTGTGAAGGATTGTGAAGCTTGAAGAAGAATGAGTAAAGAGAGAAGCAGTAGATCCGACATCTACTCTGTATTGGCGACCATCTTGAGGTATAAAGTCGCTATCTTGATCTTTAGTTGCTTAGATCTCATTTTATGGAAGTAAATGGTCACTTTTGGTGCATAATGGTGTCATTCTTGGATTGGATATTGTTATGAGGATAGGGTTTCAGATCTGGACATCTCTAGACCTCCATGGACATAAAGTTTCTCACTTTATCTAGTCTTAGCCTTTCTCCATGCATTAAACTTTGTATAAACCTTAGTTTTGAGTGTTTTAGCCTCTTAAGGCCTTGCATGCACGTAAAGTTGGCAACTTTATGTGGTAACTACACCCTAGGGGGCTGGATCCGTAGTTTGGAGTCTTGAATTCCGCTGGAAAGGACTGAACATAAAAAGGACTGAAGGGACTCGATGAGTTGCTTAGCCAACTCGACGAGTCGGGCAAGGTTCACCCGTTTTCAGGATCCTGAGTGATCTCGGTAAGCTGATTAAGGGTTTCGGTCTATAGATTTCAGCTTAGAGTTTTCGGCCCTTGGACACTGAAGAACTCGATGAGTTACTCGGGTAACTCGGCGAGTTGACTCGGGATTTCAGTTTTATGGACCTTGAAGGAACTCGACGAGTTGCTAGATGCACTCGACAAGTTGGGGTCAACATGGATTGTTGACCTTGACTGTGACCAGGGTTGACCAAGTTTGACTGTAAGGGAATTTATGGTATTCCGAGATTTGACAAGTTAATCACATGTTGGTTATAGGTAATTGAGTTGGAGTTGCGCGTTGGGACTTATCTGATCTTATCTTAGTAGTTTAGCATTCTTGAGAGGTGAGTCTTCTCACCATACCAATGGGTCTAAGGCACCAAGGCCGACCTATTTTACGATATGTGGATTGTTGATGGATTATGCATTATGTTAGTATGACTCTTGCATGGAAGACCCCGGGGGGTTCCTGTGGCAGTAGATTGAGACCATGTGGGGGTTCCTATGGCATTAGTGTAAGACCTTGGAGGGTTTCCATGACATTCTAGTATATTTGCATGTTTGGCTTCTATGATATTTCTTGGTAGTAAAGACCATGTGGGGGTTCCCATGGCAGGTAGTTAAGACCACGTGGGGGTTCCAGTGGCACTAGGTGTAAGACCTTGGAGGGTTTCCATGGCATCCTTATATGTTGTATGCATGACTTATATGGTTTATGTAGCTTTTATAGTTGATATGGATTATGTGATTATGTGGATTGTGTGGGGTATGCTCTAGGGAACTCACTAGGCATTAGCTTACAGTTTGTTGATTGTTTCAGGTACTTCTGAGCCTAAGGGAAAGGGCAAGGCTTGATGGCGTGGCATACACTCTCTCAGGCGTTTTATGGGACACTCTGATATTTGAAATAAAATGTTGATATTATGAATTTGAAAACAATTGTTCTTGAGATTTTGTGGTTATTTGGAAATGTTTTGATTATTTAAAAATGAAAATTTTCTTTTGAAAAATTGGGTCGTTACATAAGGTTAGGGTTTTATGAGGTTTGAGGGTGATGGAGGTTGACAATGAACCCTAAAATCGAGTTAATGAAGTTTAAATATGAAGGAACGCCTAAAAGATCATAGGCTTGGGCTGCAGCTTTCCTCACATCGTGACCACCTATGTGTCACGTCGTGACCAGTCCCGATACACGTTCTTCACTTTCGCTTGTCACATTGTGACCTCTCTATGGTCATGTTGTGACACTCGATTTTCCCCAAAAACCAAGCTTTTGACTCCTTAATGCCCTAACCCGATCCATTCTGGAAAACGAGTGTTACATGGTGGCAAAGGTGGTGGTGGTATAGGTGACGAAGGTGACAATGGTGAGGTCGGTTGGTGGCGGAGGTGGTGGTGGTGGCGGGGAAGGTGACAGGGGAAAAAGGAATGGACGACTTTGAATAATCATGTATGATTATAACTCTCCCGCTGCACCGGTATGCCGGAGCGCTAAAGCGGCAAATGAGAAATATGTAGCTGATGTTGAATCTCAATATATATATATATATATATTTTTAAATTTGAACGAAACCTACTTCTATATATATAGACACACACATGACGGTTCGGTTCGGGTATTCGCAGTACCTAAATACCCAAACCGAAATTGAAACGTAGATAGTCGGTTTTTTTGGTTCGGTTTTTTTTCTGTTCCGGTTTTTCGGTTTTGGATTGGTCGGATCGACTCGGTTTTTCGGTTTTGCGGTTTTTTCGCACACCCAACCTCCAACCGACAGAGAACTTGTCAACAACAGTGATTCATCCAAATTAAACCTAGAGAATGTCTATTGAACAAAAATAAACCTGGAACGACGATGGAAAACAATGGTCGAGCCAAAATTGATTTGCCAAGTTTGCACTTGGCCCCCAACACTTTTTTTTGAAAGGAGATCAACAATGGTGTAGATTGAATGTCATCCATCTTTGGGAGAGAGAGAGAGAGAGAGAGAGAGAGAGAGAGAGAGAGAGAGAGAGAGAGAGAGAGAGAGAGAGAGAGAGAGAGACCATCCATCTTCATCAGGTTATTGATTTGTTTTTTGCAATGGATAATAGTAATGACGTTTTGAAACCTTAACAAATGTTGTCAAAATGGGTCGAGTTTACGGTTTGAAACTTCAATCAAAACCAGAACATCGGCGAGATATACTCTTTTCACGTCGACTAAGACTTGTTTGTTATGAGCTCCATTAAAAGAACGTCCAACCCTGTACATGATAAGTGGAGATGAGGATGAAGACGACAACAATTGTGGGCAATTTAAAAAAAGATTTTCTTAGGATTGGGCAGTGTTTTGGGGAGGGTTGGTGGTTGTTTGTCTTACACGTGGAATCGATGTGGCACAACATATGCCATGTCAACTAATGTTTGACTGAATTCACATGCTAACCGGGAACAATAGTTTGCATTCCCCTCAAAAACAGGTTATTTTTTAGTTTATACCTTTAGAATATGAACAAAATTTAGTTCAAGGAAGAGAAACTTGTTGGCCTATAATGACAATAAACCAAATTTCAAAAAATAGAGAACATATTTATATAACACTTAGGAAAAGCTTATGATTGGTGAAAGAAAATGGTGGATAGAGGACCTAAGTTTCAGCATAAACATCTTATAAAAATAAACATTACTACGTCAATAAATAATTTTTACCCAAAGTTTAAAATATAACACATGACTACAGCATCTTTGCATGTTTTTTTTTTTTTTAATACTAATAAACATTGTTACATAAACTAACCACTAGCCCAAAGGTGAAAAGTACCATTTAGGTGATTGTTACAAGATATATAAAGATCCAAGCAACATAACTAGAACTTAAAATGCCCCATATTAATAATATACATACATGAAAACAAACTTTTGAGCAATACAAGCAGAAGCAATAGGATGATGAGATATTTAATATATATCCATTGCTGAAGCATCTCTATTGCAAATACCTACCTAGATAAGTGACACCAGAACAGAAGAGATGCATAAATAAATAATATACTTGAAGGCTGAAGCTACTAAGGACTAAACCACACGAAACACAAACATGGAGGGACCTTAATCGGCAATCTTGGAATTCTGAAAGGACCCAGAGAGACTTTTACGGTTTCGAAGCTTCTTCAATTCGGATTCAAGTGTTTTGTGTATCTCTTCATTTTCAGGGTCTCCCAAGGGCACTTCCACATGCACTGATCCTTGTTTTGCAGCTTCTTTTGGCTCATGAACACCTGAGAGCTGCTTCATGTAGCTGTAAAGTTCTTGATGAAAAGGATGATCTAATGAGTAGCAGTCAGAAGTAATGTCTGACCCTGACCCTGAGCTTGACCCTGACCCTGACCTTCTGCAGAAATGGGGCAGGGATGGATAGTCCATTATCTGCACAACCAAAACATTATATGTTCATTTTCCAAAAATGCCCTTATGCTAAAAACTATTTTATTTACCTTCAAAAGCTCCTCGCGACCATTGCCTTGCAACACCTGAACTTTTAACTTTGTTCGTTCTTGCAGAAGTGGTTTCACAACCTGCATAACATTTATGTGTTGACAATTACAACATAATTTGCTTAAAAGGTAGAATGTTGTAATAAGAAAAGAAAAAAAATTGAAATCATATTTTAATATTTCTTGCATTTGTCGCATGAAAGTTACTTAGTAATAGAATACCTTCCAACAAGCGGAGAATACGTATGGAACATTTACTATATAATATGTAATTGTCTTCTCTGGGTAGTTAAGATCATCAACAGTTGAGATTGTTGTCAGCAGCTGCAGTAGCAATAGATTAATGCCTGATTGATATTTCTTGCATTTAATATATATATATATATATATATATATATGTGCTTAAACTAATAAGTAGATATACATATACCTTTATCTGGTTCAATGCTGATAGTTTTAGGCCACTCATATCTAAAACCTTGACACACTTGCCAATATATTTTCCATTCTTTTTTGTTGCAGTTGGCTACAATGAATTCAGTGATTAAAAATTATTAGCATCTTAATCTTAAAGTAAACTCATAAAATAAAACCATTTTCCATTCTCACCAAAATCACACGATCGCGATATTCATTAATTTGAATGTGTGATTGCACGTAATAATGGATCTGCAGGAGAATTTCAAAAAAGTTTCCATTAGATTTAATGAAAATGGTTTGTGTTTGAATGACATTTCTAAAAATAGTTAGAGCTTTCAAAAAAGATTGATGTAATAGGAAGAAGTAAATGAATATAATTAAAGTATGTTGCTATTTCTTGCATTCATAAGGCTTACAGATGCTTTGTCAAATGTGCTGAGACCTGCCCCAATAGCAAACACTGGAAGCCCCTATTGTAGAAGACATTCACAAGTAGAAAAAAAAATGAGAAGAATAAAAGCAGGTTGCATTGCTATATGCTATTTTAGACAACAAAACAATAATATCAACAAATGTAACTAACCTCTCTCGTGTAACCAGACACTCCTATCAGCTGTGAATCACGCACTCCTCTGTAGAAATTAGTTGGAATAATCGGTTTCTGCACAACAAATTTCGCATTAGAAGGGCATTCACGTCTTTTTCTTAGTCCAATACAAAACAAACGGGGGCTTACAGCTAAAATCTCATCTATCCCATTTTGCAGCCTCCAGTTTAAGCTATCTACCAACTGTAATTTTACACAAAGAGAATCAATCATCAAAAAAAAAGAGAGACAGATCTAGTCGTATATATATATATCATGGGATTTTAAGTATAAGGATCATGGATTTGGATTGAACCATTTTGTGGGCTTTGGTAACATTCCCCTCTCTTGCTTTGAGAAATCGCTCCAAGGTTTCAACTATATATCCCTGATGAACATTCTGAAATGAAGAATTACATACATGAGAAAAAAGTTTGAGTCTTTAAAACACCTAATTTTAAAACCAGTTAATGATTTCCATTGTTATGTGATACTAATTATATCATCATCATTTCAAACCCCAACTCGGAAATGCTACCAATGAGATGTGTACAACAAACACGAAAGATCTTGAATTTTGAACGTAGCATTTGCACATTCTGCGAGGCAGCGAGAAGCTTGAAAAAAAAAGATGAAAGGAAAAGATGAAAAGCAACTTTAACAACAAGAATTTGCGTCTCAATACATACAATAATCAGAAATCGAGACTAGGATTCGATAATAGGTACAGATCTAAAAGGGTAGTAAAGGAGAAAGTCTGCAAAACCTTGAATGTTCTTTTTAGAGGCTCGTCAACTGCCCAAAATTCCCCCAAAAATTCAAAATTAGTAAATCGTCGTTAAGCTTAAATTAACAAACAAGAGCAGTAGAAATTTGCAAATAAAAATAAAATTGCGGAACAAACCTTGGTCCATTAACGCCTTGAACTGATTGATTGCTTCTTGAGAAGCAAGACCCATTTTAGTGCAGCTTGTACTAGAAGATAAAATCAGATTGTTTTACGAACAAAGAACACAAATTTTTACTTCAAAGACTAAAAAGCTTTTGTGATCGTTAATGTGAAGTCCACAGCTTTTACGACTCTCTCTTTCTCTCTCTTCTGCTAAAGTTATGACGAACTTTCTCGGGAGAGAGCTCATCTCTCTCTTTCTCGACATGTCACGTTTTAAATTGACCAGTTGTTAGAGAGTCATTGCTCCCATAAAAATAAAATAAAAAGAATAAAATAAAATAAAAAAGAGATAAAGTTTGTTTATAAAAGTACTAGGTTATAACCCGTGGAAATTGGTCGGTATGATTAAAATAAAAAATTATATAGATACAAAAAATAAATAAATTTTAAAAATGCATTGGATTTATTGTAAGTAATCATGAATTAAATTGATAAGTAAAAATAAACATAATACTTTAACGTAGATTTTGAAATAAACATAATACTTATCTAAAATCAATAATTTCAATTCTTCTCTCCTCTTTATTCTTTACTTTGGATAAAACAACTTTACTTATCTAACTTTAACTTAGTATGGATAAAGCAACATAGCAACATATAACGAACAATGTGAGAAAACTTGTTCTCGCAAAAACAACCCAACCTTTCGAACTTTTATTTATGGTCATAGCAAAACAAACTGAACGTTTCGGCATCAATAATCGTGTACATAAATGACCAAAGTCATAAAAACACTCTCATGGCAGTTCTTGGAATAAATATTTGTGGAAACACTACATTTGGGACTAAAATCAATATCTCCATTGCTTTATGCCAATCTGCAAAAAAACAAACTATGTCAAATATACAAGATTAAAGTTCATATATATTATTCTTACATCGATTTATTATAAAACGATGAAAGATAAATTAAAAGCTTTTAGTAGTTTCCAAATTTTCATATTTGCATTGCTCCTTTGTAAACAACAATCATATTTAAAATCAGTATCATCCGGGTGGCTAATTGGTTCACAATAACTTTGTCCCAGAGAATATGTTAACTATTTGTGTGAAACCTATTATTTTTCATAATAAAAAAATTATAGTTTCACGTGAATGTTGGTGTAGATATAATATCAACATTTTTCTATTCGCAAAACTTGTTATAAAGTTATATGTTTAATTAGTCTACTAATTATTACCAAAGAAGTTCAATCATGTTAATATTCCTTTAGTGATCCATTGGCAATGGCTTAAGAGCCAAATATGACTCCATAATGTGTCTTACCCAAGAAGGTTAAGTTTAGGAATTTCTTATCATTCTGTATTAAGTCTTACCAAAACGTATTAAGCAATTTGCACACAATTTTTATGAATAATACGCAAAAAAACATACCAATTTTCTGCTAGTAATCTTCAAATTAGTATCATTTTTGCTACTTTTAAAAACTCCTAGATCTCATTTACTTGAATTTTCTACATTCATTTTCACATGATTTATGCTTATATTAGATAAAATTCATTTTTGATTGCAAAATAATATCGTTTTGTTGAGGGTTAGCACTTCAAATCTTGAAAAACATTCAAAATCATCTTGTCTCGGAACACCAACAACATCAGATCTAGTTCTAGTTGTAGTTCTTGTAGCAAAGGCAAATGGAGTTTGTACCAAAATAATAGTTGGTTACTAATTACAAGCATTGAAGGGATTCCATACCATATTGCTCGAGACCACTTTCTAGTTGATAATATCTTTATCCATTTGACCTAATTTTATATCACATATTTATCATCGGTTTAAATCTAAGAGTTATTACCTGCTAAGAAGTGCTAAGAAGTGGCCACTGAAGAACAATGATGCAAGTGGATGCGATGAATACTAATTAACAATCATCACTAATCAACAATCTTACTGAAACGTCTAACGGCTGCCAATTATTTCATAAAAAAACTACACTTCGTAAGCAAATAACATAAACTGAAATTAAAAAGCCATCGAACTATTATTTATGTTTACCTGGAGAGAGCATGCAGACAATCGTGAGGTATATATCATCGTCGGTGAGGCCGTCGAAGGGTTATCTGAAAAGGTAGACATATCTACCATCGATGTATCACTTTGAGACATTTTGTTTAACACGTGGGTTTCATGTTTTATCGACCCGTAATAAAAAAAACGGTAGTTTGAATTCGAAAAATCGGTAGTTTTATCGTAGATAGATTTGCATTCTGAAAACCATCGACCATTTATGTACTGGTTCATGACTCAAAGACCTGCATAACAATATTACCGAAGTGGAAAAAAAAGGTTTAGATCCAAGCCATGAAAGAAAAGGTTAGAACCGAGCAGTTCCAATGTTGTGAGTACATTCCCTTCCTGGTATCCACATCAGAAAAAGAAATTTTAGATCGATTTCTCATCAAGAGACCGACTCGTCACACAAAAGCAATCGATTAAGAGGGAGAGTTAAAAAAACAATTCGATTGAGATATGTAATTCAATGCAATTAATTTGTTCCTAAAATCTTGGGATCTTGACAAAGTTCGGGAGATTACATCCCTTATTTCTTGGCTACAGTCATCTAAGCAAAAATTATGAATGGGAATGGATGCAAAATATATTAGATTCCTTGTATAGTTCCTGCTTTTTGGCTTAGATTTTTAATGTTTGATTTGAAGTCAAATTTAAACCATGAAAAATAAGGCTAGACAGAGGTAAAAAATCAAATTTAATGATATGCAAACAAAGGAAGAAAAGGAATAGGCGGAAATAAGATTAGAACATGCCACGTGGCAAATAAGCATTGTAGAACATGGACAAGTGGCAATATTGGGTTTTGTTTATTAGAAGAGGTAGATGAGGGACACCGATTTTTATCGTTTTCATCGTTAATATATATTTGGACGAAAAAAAAAATGATAGGTTTGAGATCTTGACTTTTCTCATGATATCATCTTACCAAGTCGTCTTTCAAGGAAAATAATTGTCCCCTTTTATTCTACAAACAACTACATCTTATAGTAAGATATCAAATCATTCAAGTTAGTACAATTTTACATCAATTTAATACAAACTTATTTCTTTCTAAGGTACCAAAAATTTCGCATCTATCCTAACGTGCAAGTGTTTGTAACTATTACATCATATGGTATCATAAAATATAACGACGTATTCTTTTTCGCCCTGTTTAGGCTTGTGGTATCCAAGCCTACATATGTTGATATGTGCCTTCTATGTAGCTAATCATCTTGGATTCGGTTGTCCATGTGCTGAATTGTGGAATTGGTCGGTGCCTTTAACACCCAACTTTTTAACACAAGGTACATCTAAAAATTTTCACTTTTTATTTAATAAAACATATTGGTGTATACATATACTAACAATCCACTACAAGTAGTTATCAACAAGATCGGTTCAAAGAAAATTAAATACAATAATCCGAGCCGGGTATCACAATTTCTTTACTTATTTCTTTGTTTATATAAATTTACCTGCAAAACACACATCATAAAAATGATAAGCTACAAAGAGCTTAGTGAGTAATCTTTATTTCAATTCACATAATAATTATAACTCAACTATTTTCTTTAAATACCATAGTAATGGACTTACAAATATTCAGGTTGTCATTAGACTTTCACAAGATACTCATTCTTATTTTATTACTTTATATTCTCTATACTTATTCTTATTTTCTCTTATCCTCTCTCTATCCCTCTCTTCTCTATACACACACTCTACCTTTCACTAACTATGTACTCATACTTTATATCTCCTACTGTCTCTATACACTTACTCTCTCTCTCTCTCTCTCCATCGATATCTATTTATCTCTTAAGTATCTCTACCACTATCTCTCATCTTATATATATATATATATATATTTATATATATATATATATATATATATGCATCTATATCTCCATCTCTCACTCTCCCTTTCCCTATCTCTAGCTTTATATATATATATATATCTCTCTCTATCTATCTATCTATCTCTATCTATTTCTCTCTTCCTATCTGTACATCTCTATCGCTTTCTCCATCTCCATCTCTACATCTCTATCACCTTGTCTTTCTCCTTCTCTACATCTCTATCACTTTTTCCTTTTCCATCTCTCTCTCTCTATCCACATCTCTCTTTCTCTCCACATCTCTAGCTCCATCTCTCTCACCCTCTCTATATTTCTATCTCTATCTCTCTTCTTGTTTCTTCATCTGTATCTCCTTAACTCCTATAGTAATATATACATTATACATGTCAACCATAATCACATATTAACATATCATTTAATACTCAATTTCATATCTCAATTCTACATGCTATGAATGTAATATTTTACTACGCATCTCAATTATACTCATCTGTTTACTCAAATAGTATTAAATACTAAAATTTCCAATTAATCTATTTAATAACTCGTATAGTGTTAAATAACCATTATTCTCAGTTATCACAATTACTCAACTTATAAAATATTAAATATTTACAATTCAAATATTATACTCAACTCTGAGTATGCACAATAATTATCACATATCTAGATAACAATAATCTAGAGAAACATAAGGTTACTCACTTGGTTAGTTAGTGAAGACTAACTATTATTCTGGCCTCCACCTCAACGTTGCTTTCCAATTCATTAGTTCTCCAACGTTATTTGGGAAACATATCAAGTTCATTTGAACTTGCCTATTCTCATCACTATATCCACCATAGTGATCAATTACATGATCACTAACCAGACTTGATAACTATATGTCACCAAACTAGTCGTGTTTTCAGATACAACTTACTAATCACTTAAACTGCAAGCCATTAACTCAATAAAAAAATCTTGGTAAATTAGGGTGTTTATCACGTATTGACCAGATTAACATTTAACAAATCATCGGGTTCGTAATAGCATCATATCATGAAATCCCGTAACACGTACTTGGGTCTAACGACTATTTACCAGTATCACAAACATTTACGTAAAACGGGATAAAATATCCTCTGTTGATCCCATAAATTAACTAATGTACTCCCGTATACTAGTACGTTACAGCGGTAATGATTTCCTGGAAACGCCTCCCGAGTCGCTCTCCCGATTGTGTGTCAAAACCCCGCAAATAATAGGAAATGCTTATATTTATACATTATGCATCGCCACGTCGTAGTGATCAATAGACATCGTCGTTTTCGACATGCCTATTCTCCCGTAACGTGTCTCGGTGACTCGACTTGTGCC